ATGTATCTTTGTCGAAACACAATGCTCAAAACACTCAACCAACAAAAGGTCGTCAAAGACAAAGACGGGAAGGATGTCGTCGAAGAGGAAGATGACCCAATTAAAGACTTCCAAAAAGTCACAGAAGACGCAAAGTCTGCTGCTCTCTCCGAAATGGTCGATTTCACTAAGCAAAATATCGTTTAATTATTTATTAGTTGTTATTAGTTAATTAACTATTAACTATTAATTAAATTCTCTGAGTTTGTAAATCGATTTTATAATAATAATAATTATTATTATTATATAATGAATTGGTATAGTATAATATTTATTATACTTACTCTTAAACACTTTTAACTATATGATATAGTTTCATCAAATATAAAATTTTAACTATTTATAATAGTTATGAATAACTATAATTATTAATATAATATAATATATAGTTAAATAAATTGGTATAGTATAAAATTAATTATATTTACTATTAAGTACTTTTAACTATATGATATAGTTTAAATAAATATATTGTTTTAACTATTTATAATAGTTATGAAGAACTATAATTATTAATATAATTACTGCACTATGCCTGGGCCTCTGAAGTCACTGGAGTCATGAAATTTGGAAGTGCTAAGTCATAACGGACTTTTGCGCCAGTAAATTTTTCGAATTCGGCGAGAGAAATCTTGTCTTCGTGCTTTCCTGTTAATAAAATGAGTTGGTCGACACTCTTTAAAAAAGTTTGAGACTCATCACCGAATTGGTTCCAATTATTCACGACGAGTTCTTCATCGACTTTGGAGATGTCTTTGGTTGAGCGTAACTCAAGGTGATTGGGTAAACATTTCACCCCAATGGTCTTTAATTTGTACTTCTGAGCTATTGGGACGACGACTTCAGAGATGTTTCCTTGTGTCGGGTGTTTGACGACTACACTTGTCTTCATGACATTTCCACCGATGCGAACAAAAGTCTCAAGAGCATGATCTATCACTGTTTTGGCTTGAGTCTCATACCCAGTAATATCACCTATCACACCCATTTGAAAGTTTGAGTTTGCACCTTGAATGCGATTGGAAAGCTTCTTGGCTATCCGCTTATTAAACCCATTCACATAAAACATGATCAATAAAAAGATTAACACACCTAACAGTTTCATGACATCGGAACTGTCCATCAAGTTGTCGAACATTGTGTCTCGTTGAATGGGTTTATAGTTTCTTTATAATAAATAAATCATTTCATTTTTTTTTTGATGGGTTTTATTAACAAGTTTGTTTGAAATTAAAATATCAAATAATTAACGAGTTTGTGTATTATAATTATCTAATAAGTTTATTTTAAATTAAAAAAATGGAAAAAATATTTATTTTTTAATTTTTAATTATTGTTAATTTATTAAACAAGTAAATTTGTTTTTTATTATAAATATCAATGAAAAAATAAATTAACATAAGAATTTTGTTAAAACATGAATTAATTACAAACAATTAAATTAATTAATTAATTAATTAATTTATTGATTTAAGTAAACTATAATTATAATAAATATAATAATTTATTTTTATTGTTATTTTATTTATAAATATTAGTAAAATACTAAAACTAATAACTGCTAAAAAAGTAACTACTAATAACAGAGATGATTGAATGTGGAAATTATCACACTATTCCTCAAATCACTGTTGAGCATCTTTCAAGCAAAGTACCAATTGAAAATGTATATAAATCTCCATCAGTTAGTTATTTATTATAACTACTCAAGTGAATAACATACAAATAATATTCAATATATAAACTATATAATAATATAAAAATTTAATAAATACTATTTGAGTTCTTATACTAATAGTAATAGATACTAACAAGAAGTGGTTCTGGGGCATCTCCTCGATTTGGTTCTCTTTACAAGATGTGGACTTTTCGACCGTTGTATCTGTCGAAGAGAAAGGTGTGGAGGTTGACATCTCGACTGAAAACTCATCACTTGAATACATGTCGTTGAACTATATTATCTTTGAGAGTACTTTACCTATAGTAACAGACTCGACGATTTTCACTTCAAGTTCAACGTTCAAATTTGTGTTCCCAAAACGACTATTTAGCGCAGCGCCACGAGTTGTAGTGTCAATTCAGTCGGTCACTTCCAGTCGCTTTTTAGGTGTCGAGATTGGTGTAGTAGAGACGACAAAGGACTTTTGTACCATTTCCGCTAAAATGGACGAATCGTGTACACAGAGTATACAAGTCGGCGTCTTTGCGTACGACGAGAGATTTTTACCGGAACATGTGACACAAGAAATGGGACATGAGCCCTTCGATGCCGAAAAAGCAATTCAAATAACAAGTCAAAGCATTGAGAAAAGTGACAGTTCAACGAAGAGAAAAGTCGAGGACTTTCTTTTAAAGAATTATTATAACATTCCTTCTTTGGCATCATTTCTTGTGAAGTTTCAAGCGAGTAAGAGTGAACACATTACAATTGATAATTCCCTCTTTTTCTTAGACTCGAAGTCATACCGAATGTGTGTTGGGACACAAGAGGAAGTTCGTTATAATTTTGTTGTGTGTGGGAATCTTCAGAAACCTACGCACATGGACTTTTATAGAAGAAAGGAACAACTCCAAAACAATGGAATTGGAACATTAAAAAAAGATGAAATGAAAGTTCAGAACATTAGATGTGTCGATGTCACTGATGAGAAGAAACAATGTGGAGTGTGTAAGAAACATCTAATTAATACCATCTTCTCGTGTGGCCATGCTTGCTTGTGTTATTGTTGTGCGCAAAAATTGGAGGTTCAGCCACAATGTCCCTATTGTGGGGCGTATTCTATACGACCACTTTTGTTCAAAGAAGTCGTTTAAATAAGATATATCGTGTATTATAGTTAATCAATAAGAAACAATTGTATATAATTGCTTTAGATTTAAAGGAACTATTAGAATAGTATAATAGTATCATTTATTTTTTTATTATTATTGTAATATGATATTATTTTTTAATTAGATTATTATTATTAATAATCTTAATAATCAATATTATTATTAATAAATATAACCATAATGAAGTATTCATAATTACATAATTAAGAAAATAGTAAAAACAATAGAATTTTATAAAATAGAATTTACAAAAAAACATTTATGAAATATTCATGTTATTTGATATGAGGTAACTTTATTCGTGAGAATTGCATATATATAAATAGAAGAGATGAAGTACTTAAAACACACAAAGTGTTAATGGCAAACCAACCTTTATTAACTCCAAAATTGATAATAAAAAATGACGATTATCGATCTATTGAAAAAGATGTCAAAGTTGTGAATGAACAAAAGGCTTTTATAAAGAAGTTATGGGGTCTTCATGTTAACAAATACTATAAAGATGGGTATGATCTGAATACCTATGTATCTCCAGAATGTCAACAAGAAGAAGTGGCCCTTCAGAATCTTTTTGCGAACGTTGATGAGTTACTTGCCTTATCATGTCGCAACAATCAGACTTTGTTATCGAGATATGGTTATATCAACAACAGATTTGTATTAACATTAGAAGGTGAATCGAATGTACAAAACATTACAAATGTTATTCAAAAGTACATTGGAATTGAAAATATCTTTAAAATTGAAGTAGAAGTCGTACCTAATAAAGACATAACTCATCAACTTACGAAACTCCACTTGATCCTCAAGGACATGAGAACTGTAAAAAAACTCAAAAATTTGATTACTCTATTCCATTGGAATTTTGCGTATGAAAGTTGTTATGAAAATTTGTTCAGTGAAGCTAAGCTGACTAAAATGCATATGAATCGAAAGTCACAATTTGTGTTAGAACAAACACAAGAAAACTTGGATTTTGTATACACCGATTTGTATGAAAAGATTGAGGAATACGTCAAGAATAAAAAGATGACTGACAAGATTATCAAAGTAATTTGTTTCACTGAGAACACTTTTGCAAAGATGTTCGTATTTATGTTTAAACAAGACTTCGAGACAACAATAGACGGAATTAAAAAGGAGATTTTAAAGAGTACATATTGGGTGGAATAAATTGATTTACTTCTTTTTGTTAGTCACTTGTTCTAATAAATAATTATTATAATGTACTTTTACTAATAATAATTGTAAGTAAAATGAATGGACTTAAAAATTATACCAACACAAAAATAATATAATATAATTTAATATAATTTATAATCTAAATTATAAATTAAATTAATAATATAATTTATATTATATAATAAAGTTAAGAAGAGGGTAAATGCGACATGGCCGTAACCAAGCACATTCTTGTCTAATCGTGTCTTTGGCAAGCCTCAACACGACTAGACCCCATCGCAAAAATTGTTTAATATTTGCACCTCCGTAGAGGTGAGCAAGATATTAAGCTTGCTAGAACAGATACTACACTTGATCAAAGCCATAAAGGCCGAGAAGGGTTGAATGTATTTTTCGGTTATTTATATAGTACGTGTGACGTGGCAGGGTTAAATAATCAATAATATTTTATAATAATTTAATTTACTATAATTAAACTATTATAATTAAAAAAAACTGTTATTGTGAGAGATTTATATTATATTTAGTTTATTAAACTATAAATTTACCATTTTTGTTTTTTATTAAATATAAGTATAAATTAGTTAATTCAATTAATTAATTTATTATTACATTTGTTAGGTTAATAAATAATTAAATTATGAAAGATACATTATAACAACAATATAGTTTAATTGTAATTTTTTATTATTAAAAATCTACACAGACTTCAAACTATAAAAAAACTATTAATAATTTATAGAAGCCTCAATGATTCAACTCGAGTCTGTCTTTCTTAAAAACGTTGTTTTGTACTTAGACACAATAAGTGACGTCTTTCATTTTATATTAATCAACACAAAATGCCACCAATCTGTTCAGACGATGTATGTGAACACTTACAACTTGTCTCTCAGATTTCCAATTCACACGATTTTAAAGTATTTTCCGCACATGCAAACACTTTATTTGTGTTCTACGAGTGGGGACTTATCAGTGAAGAAATAATGAAGTAAATTTTGGTATTAATAAATTAGAG